CCACTGAGCCATGTCCCTGGCCCTCTGGGTGTGTTTTTAATTGGGTTGAATTTATTTAGAGTTCCGTATGCTTCAGTTACCTGAAAGTCAGATTGTTTCCTCATATTTGGGAAGTTTTCTGCTATTCTGCCCATTTTCTTATTATATCATAAGTATTGACTCCTTCTTTCTCATTGATGCCTATTATTCTCACATTGTTCATCTTTACATCATCTTGTAGGTGATGTATTATTTTTTCCTGCATCTTAGTTGTTTTTAAGAGATCTTTTCTTACCTTTTCACTAGTTGTGACTGTGTCTTTAAGATCTGAAACTCTATATCTTTCACTCAATTTTGCAAGCTTGTGATTGATATTTTAAGTTCCTCTATATTTCTTTGACTCTGCTTTATATGATCTATTTCTTTCCTGTATTGCTCATTCAAGGAACCCATCACTTTTGTAATCTCCTCCAATTTTTTTTATCAGTGTCTTCTTGAGAAGCAGTTATTAATTCTTTTACTTCAGAGATTATTTCTGATCTGATTTCCTCTGTTTCTGCATTTGATTCTTCAAACGCTATTAATTCAAAGATTTTTTTATTTCAGAGTTTAATTTTGATCTGAGTTGCTGTATACCTTTCTGCTGTTGTTTCTTCTGATGCTAGTAATTCAGAGATTTCTGTTTTTATTTCAAAGATTGTTCTCTCCTCTGTACCTTTCTGCTGTTGTTTCTTTACTTCCAATGCTGTTAATGCATTCATTTCATCTTAGCTAGTGTCCTCTGCACTTGTTTTGGGTGCACTCGAGGTCTGAGATGCATTTTGCTCCTTCTCTTTGTCATTTCATATAGCACTGACCTCTGACCTTTGGTGTAGAGCTTTGGTGCAGTCATAACTTTATCACTTACTGAAATTCAGGTACCAGTCTATTAAGTTTGAGTTTATCCAGTTGTGCCTGGTTTGGGTCTAGCTGTTGTGTTCAGCTCTTTCCTGCTGCAGCCTTTGAAAGTGAACCTGTTGTGCTCGACTGTTGTGCCCCTGGCCTGGGGGCATAGGGGAGCACAGAAGCTCTGTCACACACTAGCAGGCTTGGGCTGGGTCTGGGGGGTTCCGAGGGCATGGCAGAGCTTCTCAATCACTTGGGCTTTGAAGATGGGCTCTGGAGGAGTGGAGGGGTGCCGAGGGTGCGCCAGAGGGTCTCACTCATGCAGCATGCCTGGCTTTGGTCCAGAGAGTTCCCGAGGGTGCATGGGAGCCAGAAGCTCTCGCACACACTTGCCTGGCCTGGGCTTGGGCTGGATATGGGGTGTCCGGCATGCACAGTAGAAGTTCTTACTCACTGGGCGGGCTTGGTTGGGTGAGGCTCTGGAGGTGTCCCAAGAGCATGGCAGAGGGTCTCACACAGTATGCCTGGCTTTGTTCCAGAGAGTTCCTCAGGGTACACAGGAGCCAGAAGCTCTTTTCCACACTCGCTGGGCCTGGGCTTGGGCTGGATCTAGGGGTCCCAAATGCGAGGCAGAAGTTCTCACTAGGTGGGCTTGGTTGAGGGAGGCTCCGGAGGTGTCCGGAGGGTGCGGCAGAGGGTCTTATTTGGTGTGCTTGGGTTTTGTCGAGCTCAACGTGATAAAAACCATCTATGATCTTGTACAGCAATTAACCACTAAGAAGAATATATGCAGTGTATTATTTGTTGAAACTGTACTTTCGATTTGATTTGAAACTGTCTCATTGCTATATGTTTATCAATAAAACTTTGAAAAGAAAAAAAAACCATCTATGATAAGCCAATAGCTAACATCATACTAAATGGACAAAAATGGAAAACCTTTACTTTAAAATCAGGAACAGGATAAGTATGTCCACTGTCACTACTCTTACTCAATATAGTACTGGAAAAATTAGCCAGAGCAATTACACAAGAGAAAGAAAAGGAGTAAGGATTGGAAAAGAATAAGTGAAACTTCACTCGCAGATGGCATGGTAGTGTACATAGAAGACCCAAAAAAAATCCACCAAAAGACTGTTAGATTTTAAGTTATTGAAGTTTATGGATCTCCACATGGTAAGTTATGCAAGCTTATAGGAGAGTTCTTCTGTAATTACAAATTGGTGGGGAATATTTTTCCCCAACTGAGCACCTTTAAAACTTCCAAGAATTTCTCCATGGTCCAGAAGTGGAGGTGGAGGTTGTTTGACATAGGATGAAAGAAAGAGAAAGCACTTCTAGGTCAGCCTGCTCTGAATCCTTTGGGTCCCAGGTTTACGGAGGTATATTCCTTATTGAATTCCACATTTGGAAAGTACAGGCTTTCTTTAAATCCCAAAACACTGAAAAATTAAAGTTCAGATTCACTTGATTTGACAAATGCTCTCAAGGCAAGTGCCCCTTTCACTTAGTTTGAATCTGATATACCATCTCAACTTACAAAGTAATGTCATAAATGACTGTTTCTCCTACATTTCTAATTGTATTTGATGGCTTATGGTGTGTAGTCTACCATATTGTTAAAGCAAAAAGCCTGCCGTACTATTGGGAAACAGTGGCTACCCCCAAAAGTTCTTATATCAAAGGGAAAAACAATATTTGGAAAAGTTGAGAAATTTCTTGAGCTCAAGGAAAATGTCTTCTTAATAAGAACATCATGATGCCAGGTGTGGTGGTGCACACATCTATAATCTGGCTGGGACAGGACAATCACCACATGTTCAAAGACAACATGGGTTATATAGTGAGAACCTGTCTAGAAAACTAAAATAAAAATAAAAATCCAGGGCAGCAAGATAGCTCAGCAGACTAAGCACCTACTTAGGCAAGCCCAGGGACCAGGGTTCTGATCCCTGGCATGACGTGCCACGCCCTCCCCCTACTCTGCCCCATGTGTGGTGGCACATGCCTATAATCCTATTGTGGGGAGGCTGAAGACAAGAGGATCACTACAAGTCCGAGCTGTATACTGAGACCCTGTACCAAATACATAAAAATTTTTTTTAAATGAAAATAAAAACAAACTCTTAAAACCATAAAGAACATCATGAAAAGTGCTGAAATAGCAAAAAGTTCCTGATTTCCTTTTGTCCCTACTTAGTGACACTAGACTGCTTGATACTCATCAAACTTTCCAGCTCAGAAGGACCAAAATATATATATAACCTATATATATATGCATACATACATGCGTACATACAAGATAAAATCATTATACTAATTTCTCATAGTTCTTCTCCCCCCCACCCCCGGAACCAGGAATTGAACTCAGGCCCTTATGTTTGCCAGGCAAGCACTTATTCTACTGAGCTATTGCTCATAGTTCATTAAAAAGAAAGGTTTGGGCTAATATTATTTGAACAATTAAATACTTGTATTCTGGGTAATTTAAAGACAATATTTAATGTATTAACCATTACTGTTCTGTTTTGAACTCTTTTTTTAGTTTTCCTTTTTAAAATAAAATTAGAAAAATAAAAAAAAAACACTTTCTAGCTCGGGGTGATATCAAGAAGTCATGAGAAGCACCTACCTTCTCAGTGACTCTGGGGACCTAGAGACTTCAGTGCAAGGCTGAGATGAGCAGAACCTAGAGGACTGTAGTTATAGAGGTGAAGTGGATTCATATGGTAGCACTTGGCGTCTTGGATTGTTGGGATCTGAGTGAAAGTCAGAATATTCTGGATGAACAGTCTCAATATACACAGGAAATAAGATTTTCAGAAGACTTCCTAAGAATTAATAATTCAGGCCAGGTCTGTCGACCAGGGTCAAATTTTAATACTGGTCACTAATGTCTTAAGCATCAAGTGTCATTATTATTCAGTAGCATCACTCACTAATACTAGTGCGCTTGTGTGTCTGTGTATATGTGTGTGTGTATGTGTGATCCTGATGCTGTCGTAGGATGGGGGGCTAGAAAATTCCCCCACACTGTAGTAGGGGAGTTTTCCACATATTGCTTAGCAGTGAGAACATGTCTAAATGGCATATTGTTAAGCTATGAAGGAGGCTCGAGTACCTTGACTTTGTGTGCCCCCCCTTTGGACTTTAAATTATTTAAAATTTTTCTACAAATTAAAAGTAACTAAAAGTTTACCATTATAACATCAGTCCCTACTATTAGATATTCTTCATCTATGAAAATTTGCATCTTTGGCAATTGAATAAAATTTTATTCTAATTTAAAATTTAAATTTTGGCAATTTAAAATTTTATTCAGTTGCCTAAGATGCAAGTTTTCATAGATGAAGAATATCTAAGAATGTTTGTTATTGGGCCAGGGAGATGACTCAGTGGAATAAGCGCTTCCCTGGCAAGTGCAAGGGCCTGAGTTCAATCCCCAGTTCCACAAAAAAAAAAAAAAAAAAAGAGTGTTTATTATTTACTCTGATGGTATAATTAAAACCAGTAAGCAAAGTGTTTTTAAGTATAAGAAAAGTGTTTTTAAGTATGACTAAAACTTTCTCATGCATCATACTTCATTTAAGGTAAACCAAACTAAGCATCAGCTGCCTGAAAAGATTTTCAAAGTAGATGAACTGACTGACTGGCTCAATTTTTATGGAGAAGCATATAGAAGGACAGCTTGGAAAATGAACTTGGTAAGTATTTCCTGTTTGTAGTTATATAATGTAAGCATTTCTTCTACAGCTTTGTACGTGAATTTCTGAAAAGCCTATACTTTGCAAAATCACACAGTTTAACAGAAGGACTAATGAGAAAAATAAGTCTCCTCAAAAGCTATAAAATTTTATAGCCAGAGCACTGGCAGAAGAGTGACATACCCAGGAGGAAACTTGCGTTGATCAGCCAAAACAGATCATGAGGACTGCTATGAGAATGTGAAAATGTACAAAAGGAGAAGAGTAGAAATCCAGTCATACTCTGGTTAGAGGAGGATTGATATTCTTGAGGCCACACCATAATGTGATTCAGTAAAGAGCCTGCAGCTTTGAGGATGGTTCCTGATGTAGGATCCCTTTTTTGTTTGATACACAGAGCGTTCTTGTTGCCAAGAGCCTACTAGAGATTTCCCCTTTTCTTTCCTTTGCTCTTTTCTTGTTCTGAAGTGTAGAAACCTTAAATTAGAAGGGTCCTAAAACTATGAAGTTAAACTATAAGAGTTCTCTGTCCTTTAGTTGATGAGCACTCTCATCATTTCTACTTTTTAGGATACTTCTGATGTACACAATTGTGTCATTCAGTCAGTTTCCATTTTGTCTTTAATATTCTGTCAAAAATTCCCCTTCCCTTCTCTTGCACTTAGATATTTTGTATGTCCATGAAAATTTGATTCTTTGGCAACTGGATAATTTTTTTTTTCTTTTTGAGACAGGATTTCACTATGAAGTTCAGGCTGGCCTTGAACTCATTTTGTAACCCAGACTGGCCTCTAACAGCAATCCTCCTGCCTCAACTTCCCCAAGTATTGGGATTACAGGCATGCACCACTATGCCTGACAGTTGGACAAAATTTTATTCTCTTAGGAATGTTTATTATTCACTCCAGTAGTGTAATTAACCATTCCCCTAACTCTTCTCTTCTAGCTTTGAGAACTGAACCCCAAGCCTTTTCATGTCATATCCCAGCTTTTTTTCCTTTTTTAAAATAGGATCTTACTAAGTATATCAACCCTTGCCCAGCAGAAGGCATGAATGAGCTGTCAGCTGTCCACATTTGTCACCCCTGTTTACCAAATCTGTCTGAGCCAGTTCACATGCAATAACTAAGGTTGCAGTTAAATAGACTCTGTAAAAAGCATTCAGAGTTTATCATTAATTAGTAAGTTAAATGGGCATCAAAATCCTTTGTATACCTTACATTTATAAATGTTAAGCACATTTTTTTACTACAAGTGCTACTGAACAGCACATTTGATTGCCTTGGCATAAAGTAGAGAAACCTTAAATTAGAAGGGTCCTAAAGCTATGAAGTTAAACTGTAAGAGTTCTCTGTCCTTTAGTTAATCTGCACTCTCATCATTTCTACTTTTTAGGATACTTCTGATGTACACAATTGTGTCATATTCAGTCAATTTCCATTTGTCTTTAATATTTTGTCAAAAATTAAACTACTATATGCTGACTCACTTCTAAAAATACAGGTATGTATGCTTATTTTTTTGCCTTCATTAACATAAATTACATGATAAATGCCTTCAGAGAGTGTGAAGTGATATCATTTTGGGAGCAAGAGGAAGCCCATTGATAAGACCAATGTTTTTGGCATTTACAGCTAAGTGGACAGTCAAATTGGAATTGGGTTGGCCTTAAGACATATTAAGACTTTAGTAGCAAGGGGCAGACCTTGAACAACTGGGTTGCTATAGGTTTTTATTTGAACTTGGCATTGGCAGCCTGTAGTCATCAGAATAGTTCTCAAAAAGGTGTAAGCAACTTGGGCTTGATTAGGACTAGCTCCAGTGTTTAAGGATGGCATTGTAATACAGAGATACATAACATCAATAAAGGTGGCATAGAATTCTTGAAATTAGAATCTCACAACTGGCTCATACTTTGATGGTAACGTAATAAAAGTTATAAAAAGTTGCTCTTTTTACAGTGTGGTACTGTCACAGTTGAGGTGGTTTTGTTGGTCATTATATCCTGTAAAGTGGTTTTATACTAAAAGTGAGACTACTAAAAATGCCTAGGGAGCTGGGGGTATACCTGGAGGTGTGTTCCTTACATGTTTGAGGCCCTCCGTTTGAGCCCCATCACCACCACCAGATAAAAGCCTAGAAGATATATCAGCTAATTCTTACCTCATTGCATTTGTAAGGACTAAATTTGTTAATGAGTAAAGCATGTAGAACAGTGCTTATCACAAGGTAAGCATACAAGTATTAGCTATATAGTATCACTTTTACTATTACATATACAGATATGTGTATGTAATAATGCTCAGATACATGTTCTTAAAGTACTTTCACATGTTTTGAAAATATAAACTAGAGGCTGGGGAAATGGCTCAGTGGAATAAGCGTTCCCTGGCAAGCACAAGGGCCGGAGTTCAATCCCCGGTTCCGCAAAAAAAAAGAAAATATAAAATAGATTTATCAGTTCTAAGTATGATCATTAATAAAATAGTTAACAAAAGAGAATGAGGGATGCAAAAGCTTCATTTTGCTTCAATTCTTACAGCCCATTCTTTCTGATTTTAAACAAGATTTCAGTGATACTTTTATAGAACTGGTATATTTGGTTGCTCTTTGTTCTGCTAAAACCCACAGACTTCAGTGATCCTAGATTGCACTTTGGTTTCAAAATTGATATTCTATGTGTTTCTTTCTCCTACCCTCTTTACAGATGTGTACGTAAGACAGTTCTGATTTATTCTGTTTTATAAATTTCTATTTTAAGAGGACAAATGACAAAATGAAATAAAACATTTTTTCCTCAGGAGAAAAAACTTAAAGCTTGCTTGGCAGCAATTGTGGAACAAGAAGAGTCTGAATTAGCTTTTATGCCCACTTTTGATCTCACAGTCAGAAGGAAGCATTTGATTGAGGATGTTTTGGATCAGCTGAGTAGATTTGAGAATGAAGACCTGAGGAGGGAATTATGGGTAAAGTATTATCATTTACTGTTTTTGTTGAAAGAATAAAAAATCATAAAAGGAACAAAAGGGTCTCAGGAAAAAAATCCCTCTTTACTGTGAAGCTGGCTGGTTTTGGGTCTCCCCAACTCCCTGGTTACCTGCCTTGGGCACTTAGTACAGTCAGGCTAAAGTAGCAGGTGAGATGGTTGTTCTCTCTGGGGAGGTAGATAGGCAGTGTAGCATCAAGTCTCAGCTTCCTGGTTAGTTACCATGTCATAAGGAAAGCAGACAGTCAGCATGGAACCCAGATGACTTTGTATAGAAACAACTTGCTCTTTATTAACACAGTAATCCCTCGCTGTTTTGCAGTTTGACTTTCATGGACTCACTGTTTTGCAGGTTTTCAAAAAATATTAATCTAATTATTTATTGTGAATTTTTTGTTATATATTGCAGGATATTGCAGTAGTTTATAATACTGTATGCATATTTATATGCATAGCATTTATCGTTTTAATTTTGCCAAAAAGTTTTAAATATATAAAAGTATATTAATCTCGAGAGAGATTAGTTAGTATGTACCTATATATAGCTAGTTTCTCTTAGTAGTGCTTAGACAAGATATCATGTTTGCATCTTGTACTATGAATAACTACTATGAAGACAACATCATGCAATGTATATAATTATTGTAACTGTCCTCCTAGCCTGTTTTGAAACAGTCTCATTGCTATTTCTTTCTCAATAAAATTAATTTTAAAAAATAAATAAAAGTATATTAAAATGTTAATTCTAACATATTAAAAGATTATTAAGTTGAAATAAAACACTGTTTACAGTGTATTTCTTTAGCAGATAAATACATATTATCCTGTACAGTGTGTATATATGTATTTTTTTGTTTTTGTTTTTGTTTCGCAGAACTTGGGATTCAACTCAGACCCTTGCACTTGCCAGGCAAGTGCTCTACTGAGCCATCTCCCTGGCCCCTACCTTCTTAGAAATAGTAAGGGCGCCAGGACCAACAATCACTAGCTGCCCAAGTTACCAAAAGATTATACTTCCAAAATCTCTTGATGTTGATTCCACACACAGAACAAACAAGTTGTCCTATGTGTGCCACTCACAACAGAAGCCTTTTTTTTTTTTAGTATATGTATGTTGTTAAAATTATGTAGGTTTACAAGGTTAAGAATGTTAGAAGTGGTGGGGTTTTTTTTGTTTTTGTTTTTTTAAAAAATTTTATTATTTTTTAGTAAGGGTCTACAGGGTCTCACTATTGTAGGTCATACTTGTAGTGATCCACCTGTGTTCAGCCTCCCAAAGAGCTGGGATTACAGGCACGAGCCACCACACCCAGTCTCAATCAAGGTCTCAGTGTGCCCCGGGGCTGGGGCTGGCAGGGCATGCCAGGGGTTGAACCCAGATGCTGTGTCTGCCTAAGCAGGTGCTTTAATCCACTGAACTATTTGGCCAACCCTTAGAAGTGTTTTTAAAAATGTGAGAAAGGTTTATGAGAGTGTGGGAAGGGTTTAAAATGTATACAAATACTAAAATATAATGTCACTACTTCACTGATTTTTACTTTTCACAGGGATGTCTGGAATGTACCCTCTATGATAAGTGAGGGACCACTGTAGTTATTTGAGATATAATTGTGGAGTTAGCTATATAATAAACATTCATAAATGATTTTGAGTGTAAGTACTGTGCAGCTTGTCTCAGTCTCGTAGGTTTTGACAAAGTATAGTAACAGGTAGATCTGTAGAATGCTTCCCTTGTGCCAAGAACTGTAAATTGTCTCACTCTTCCTTGTTTAACTCTCACAGCAACACTGTGCTGTAGGTTCTGTTTTTTTTTTTTCTCAGTTTTTAAATAGGAAAACTAACATTCAGAATTATTAGGCCAATTATCCATCACTAACATAACTGGTAAATATTAATGCTGGGATTTGGGCCCCATGGGAAAGCACTAAACTTCCCACTTACTAAAACTTACAGAGATTGGCCTGCTAACACTTAACTGAGTAGAATGTTTTGATGGGAGACTAGGTCATTACTTTTTTGTGTTTTAAATTCAGTTAATACTCATTGAACATTGACCATTTTCCATATGTATGTGAGACATTTCATACACATTTGGCTCTGTTTAAGAAGCTTTTGAGCCAAATGCCTTCATTGGAAGACTTAAAAGAACTCAATCCTGTTTTGGGAAAGTAAGTAGATGTAGTCCTTTTTAGCACTCTCCCTGGATTCCTATGTCCACACATGTATACTTTTGACCATTTATGAAATGTATGGAAACATTTCTTTCTCAGTACACATCTTGTTTTTTTTCTGTTTTTCAATGAATTTGAAAACAAAGTCATGGTTTAGCTGTTTGAAATAATAATTATGATTTCTTTTTTTTCACTCTCATTTAATCCTTCTGGTAATTTGTGAGTTCAAGCAGCTTGCCCATAATAAGGGGAAGAATAATAATTTGACAACTGATCGTACCACAGAGATTTTAAACATTTCACTGAGGTTTGAAAGGTGCACCTCAGGCTGAGGATATAGCTCAGTGGCATAGCGCTTGCCTGGCAAGTACAAGGTCCTGCATTTGATTCCTGGTACAAAGACGCCCAATAACAGGAGATTTGGGGACTTTGTGGAATATCCAGGTAGAGATGCTGAGCAGAGCTATAGCAAAGAGCATCTTGTCAGCCATGAGAGAAAATACAATGGATTGGAAAGTTAAATGGCAGTAGGTAACAGATGGAATTTTAAAGGACAGTGAGCATCTAGGGAAAGAGCAGAGAGAAGAGCAGAAGTGCCTGGATAAAACCAGGGGAAAATCTAGGATTAAGCCATCAGGGGACAAAAGAAAAAAACTCAAGGAATACTTCATAAGAGAATGCTAGAGGAAAGTAAATAGAAAAAAGGAGGTGGCCAGGAGGGTATAGTGTCCTAGTGAAATCAGGGGAATCAGACATGAGAAGAAACCAAGGATTGGAAGTCAGAGGTTCATCATAGCCAGGCATACTGGTGTATGCCTGTAATCCCAGCACTTGGGAGGCTGAGGTAGGAGGATTGCTACAATTTCAAGGCTAACCTAGGCTACATAGAGAGTTCAGGACTAGCCTGAACTACAAAGCAAGATTCTGTCTCAAAAAAAAAAAAAAAACCAAAAAACAGAAGTTCATTGTCCTCAGCGAATATTGAAGAAAAAGAGGTCTTTGAAAGTCAGCATCTATTTTCTAAATTTGCCAGTCCTAGAGTAGAAGAAACCATATTGTCGTAGTTGGAGATGATATGTTAGGAATTTTTTTTGTTTTTGAGAATAAGGCAACCCTTAATACATTTGTAAGGTGAAGTGAAGTGTTTCCAGAAGTAAGGTTGGGAACCAGAGAAGGCGACTGAGTGAGCACTCATCTTAGACCTTGATGTGAACAGGGGGCTTCTGCGTCTTCAAAGAATAAACAGTCAAGTCTACACACTTCATGGTGGTTCTGGGTTTTTAGCTGTCTGAAATAATAATTATGATTTCTTTCTTTTCACTCTCATTAGATCTAATGGATTATGACAGTGGTGCCAATTGAAGTCAATTTAGTGGCGAAAATGATATAGGTGCTGGGGTTTGATAGGATTAAATCTAGACTAACGCCCAAGCTTTTACATAAACTTGGGAAAGTTAAATTCTTTAAGTCTCATTACCCTTATAGAATTAATGGGGAGATTGAAATGATTAAAACAGTAAGATGCTTACCACAGTACCTGCCCACAACTTAGGTCTGTAATTGTTAACCTTTTTTGGTCTGAAAGAAGACTTCATACACAGAGATACAGATTGCTGGGAGTGATGCGTTACCTGTTGTCTTCTCAGGTTTCGTTTAGTGGAGAGATTGAGTATGACTTTGGAAGAGTCAAGACAGAGTTCTTTTATTATGTGTTTGAAGCAATAACTCAGCCAGAATATGGGATGTTCACATATCCTGAAGATGCTTCCTACATGTGGTTTCCTGTTAAGGTTGGTCCTTGTTATTATTTTTATTCCATGACAGAAAAAATACATATTATAGAAAAGTAGGTTGTTCAGATATTTCATAGTAGGAAAAAATTTACTGATACTGATTAAGAAATGATCTTCAAAAAAAGAAAAAGAAATGATCTTCAGTTTAAATAGGGTGATGATTTTCCTTAAAATGGAATCCCCTCTCTGTGGATTCCTATGTCCACACATGTATGCTTTTGACCATTTATGAAATGTATGGAAACATTTCTTTCTCAGTACATATCTTGTTTCTTTTCTGTTTTTCCATGAATTTGAAACCAAAGTCATGGAAAGAAAATATAACTAGTTATAAGGATTCTCAAGGCTAATATGTTTGTATTCTATTGTGCTTTGAGCCAGAACTATGGCAAGGACTTATATCAGTTTTGTGACTAAAGATTAATACTAAATCTTCTCATTTCAGGCTTTACAGACATTGACACTTTGATTTTATGAAATGATAAAAGGACTTACCACTTACCTAAAATAAATACCCCACTGCAATGATTAGAAGCACTATAATACTTTTGATTCTTACTCTCTTTTCAGCCTAAATTTGAGAAGAAAAGATATTTCTTCTTTGGGATGCTCTGTGGCCTTTCCCTTTTCAACTGCAATGTTGCCAACATTCCTTTCCCACTGGCTCTGTTTAAGAAGCTTTTGAACCAAATGCCTTCATTGGAAGACTTGAAAGAACTCAGTCCTGTTTTGGGAAAGTAAGTAGATGTCCTTTTCAAGCATTTTAACATGCATTTGAATAAATATTTGAATGTACACATCTCAATAGTTTTATGTTTGACATTAGTATTTTAAGTATCTTAAACCCATTTAGTTTTGGTTAGAGTTGTTGTGTAATGGTTTAATTTTCTTTTTTAATTAAATTTTTATTTGCATTGATACATATTTGCAGTCCAGAATGATCACATTCTTCCTGGGAAGTTGCTACACATACATAATACACCATGATTCTTTTTTTACTCCTTCCTATACCTTCCCCTCTTCATTTTCTAAAATTAAGAAAAATTGATTCTACAGCTTATCCTCAGTGCTCAAAATGATAGTTGAACTTTTTTTCTGTGTAGAAACTAGCAAACAGAGCTCATGTTATTCTGGGACCTTTACTTATTATGCCTGTGTCTCCAAGAGTCCAGTTCTTTCCCCAGCAAATTCTGTTTCTGTTTTTCTACCTAGGTCTTTGATCCATTTTGATTTGATTTTAGTACAGAATGAGAGATATGTATCAAGATTCATTGTCCTGCATACGAATAAACACTTTTCTAAGCACTATTTGTTAGAGTCTCCATCATATGTTTTTGGCCCCCTTGTTAAAAAAAAATAGCTGACTGATGGTGCTTGAGGATGTTTCTGTGCCATCTGTTCTATTGGTCAGTGTGAATTTTTGTGCCAGTGCTGTGTTGTTTTTACTTTTGTGGCTTTGTAGTATAAATTGAAGTCTAAGATTATAATGCCTCCTGCCTTTTTATATTACTCGGGATTCATTTGACTATTCTGAGTTTTTTTCTGTTTCCATATATATTTTAGAATTATTCTTTATACTTTTGTGTTAAAAGTTAATGGTATTTTAATGGGGATTACATTAAATCTTTATATCATTTTTGATAATATGACCATTTTTGACAGTGTTATTTCTGCCTATCCAAGAATAGAGGGTGCCTTTCTATTTTGTGATGTTCTCTTCAACCTCTTCTTTCAGAGTACTGTTTATGGTTTTTGTTATAAAGGTCTTTCACTTTCTTGATTATTCAGATTAGTTCTGAAATATTTAATTTTATTGAGGTTATTGTACATGGGATTCTTAGTGTATAGAACTGCTAATGACATTTGTGTATATATTTTGTATTTTGCTATTTTGCTAAATTTGTTTATTTTGTATAAGTACTGCGCACTAATTGATTGAGCCACTGGAGCTCCTAAATTTGTTTATTCAAAGAGTTTTCTGCTGCACTGTTTTGGATCCTCTAAAAGATCATGCCATCTGTGAATAAGGATGTTTGGACTTCTTTTCCTATTCAAATCCTGTTTGCTTCCTTCTCTTGCCTAATTGCTTTGGCTGAACTTTGAAATACAGAAATGGAGAGCGTAGACATCCTTACTTGTTTCTGATTTTAATGAAAATGTTTTCAGTTTTTCATATTTAGTATATTGGCAGCAATGGGTTTGTCATAAATGGCTTTTATCTTAAGTTAAGGTCCTAAGGTCCTTTCTGTATCTGTTGAGATTATCATGTGATTTGTTTTTTATTCTACTTTATGTAGTGTGTTACTTTTATTGATATGCTTCCTTGTGAAGCACCCTTGTGCCCCTAAGTTGAAACCAGTGTGGTCATACATGGTCTTTTTAATGATCTGTTTTATTTTGCAATATCTTGTTGAGCTGTACTGAATTCAGAAACCAGTGGCTCTCTACACTGCAGGCCACCCCAATAATTCCTGGAAATGTCTGGGACCTTCATAGAGGTTTCATGAGATCCAAACTATTTTTCTATTACTAAGGCTGTTGTTTTGCCTTTTGCATTCTGTCATGAAGAGGGAGTTTTTCAGAGGCTATATATAACACCATAGAATTCTCTTAGCCAAAAGAATGTTAGTGTGTCTTCCTGTTTGTAAAACATCCTTTGCTTTTAATTTATAATACTGTAAATAGAGATATAACTAGTATAAGGTTTCTTTGTGGTTGTCAGTAATTTTAATCCAAGTAGCCTTTGTATTAAACTTGACAAGCAAATTCCAAAATTTATATTAATAAACAAAGGATCAAGAATAGCCAGAAATAACTCTTAAGGTAAAGAAAGACAGAGAATGTGACCTCACAGATCTCAAGAAATGATATAGCTGTATTAATTATAACTAGGACAATATGTTAATAACATAGGCTTTCTAATGAAACTGAAGAGAGAGCTTAGAAATTAGTGTGAATTAAGGAATTTTTTTAGAAGTTGCATGTTAGATTAATAAGTGGGAAAAGGATTTCAATAAATGAATCAATAAAAAACTGACCATCCTGGAAAAAAGTAACAGTGGATTACTGCTTTATGCTATTCACAAAACTCAACTCCATATATATATAAAAGTCTTAAATTTAAGTGCAAAACTTTGAAAGCACAGAAGAATATCAATCATTTGGGGATTTCTTAAGTAAGACATAGAAGGACCATCATTGGTCCTTCTATGTGATAAAAGATTGATAAATTTAACTGCAGTAACATTAAAGAACTTTTTTGTTTAGGTCTGGCCAGATAGTTCAGCAGATTAAAGTGCCTGCTTAGGCAGGCACAGGACCGTGCTGGCCCTACCCCCTGGGGTACACTGAGACAGTGAGACTGGGCGTGGTGGTACACGCCTGTAATCCCAGTGCTTGGGAGCCTGAAAATAGAAGAATCACTATGAGTCAGATCTGTGTAGTGAGACCCTGTAGACCCTGTACTAAAATACATTTAAAAACAAATTTCTTTGTTCATCCAAAGGTATTTTAATGAAAGAAAAATGGTAGACATTTGTACTCCATCTTGAGGATGATAGAAAAATGGGGGGGGGGTACCATGTTCTGTATACTCTTGTGATATGTAATATGTAATAATATTAAGGAGTGAGGCTTTCAGGGTAGGATCAGGTCCCAATACTAAGCCATTATGAATGGTAGTATCTTCATAAAAGAGTTCCCAGGAAGCTTAAGGGCCTTACCTCCCTGTGAGGAAACACTAGGCACCATCTATGAAAAGCCCTTCACCAGACACTAAATCTGCTGGCATGTTGACCTTGGTCTTTGAGCCTCCAGAGCTGTGGTTAATACATTTATGTTGTTTATAAATTATCTATTTAGAATTGTTATAGGCCTAACTAAACTCATAAATTTGTATCAAGAAGTGGGTCACTACTGTAACAAATGCATGAAAATGTGGAAGCAGCTAGGTAATAAGAGATAGAGGCTAGAAACTTTTAAAGTGCATTCTGGAAAAGGCCACTACAGCCATGAACAGACCATAAAGGGCAGTTCTGATGAGGGCTCAGAAGGCAGCTATAGAGAAAAAGTGGTCGAGATCAGAATGATGGTAGAGTATGGACAGTACAGGTCATTTTGGTGAATCTTAAAACAAGTGAGGAATATATTATTTGAAATTGGAGGGAGGACAGTACTTGGTGTGAAGTGGCAAAGACCTTGCGTGGATTGTGTTTGCACCCTAGCATCTTGTGGAAGGTAGAATTTATGAGCTGTACAGTCCAAAGAGAGAAATCTGTCAAGGGCTGGCGAGATAGCTCAGCAGACTAAGCACCTGCTTAGGCAAGTGCAGACTGGGGTTCAATCCCCAGCACCACATGTTGCACGGACCCCACCCCCAGGCACACTAAGGCGGCCACTGAGACCAAGCATGGTGGTGCATACCTGTAATCCCAGGAGGATCATTAGGAGTCCAAGCTGCATAATGAGACCCTGTCCCAAATACATTTTTTTAAAAAGATATTTTCTTTCAAACTGTTGGAGGAGGAGCATAGCTTTTCTTGACTACTTACAGTAAAATATGAGAAGAGAGATAATTAAAGATGCAGTTTGTAGTGAGAGGGAAACAGAACATAAAGATTTGGAAAACAGGCCTGGTAAAGTATGTTCGGGAATGAACATAAAGAGGGTAGCCTGCAATCTGATTCAGAAATTAGTGGTCAGCTGGAGCCTGGTGATGGTCATCAGAACAATGGAAGGATGATCCTGAAAGCCAGCCCTTCATGAGGCCTTCAGGGTTTCCACTTCTACCACAGGCTTAGAGTACAAGACCCGGGGGACAGAACTGTGTCAGAAGAGGGACTTTGATGCACAGCATTACCATCAATTCTCTGCTCCCTGCATTCTGACCCAGTGCTCCTCAGCCAGCCCCAGGTGTGGCTTAGGCTGCAGTGGTCTGTGTTGTGGAGGACCAAGTGATACTGTGTCTGCTGTACACATGCTTACAAGCTGTGGAGACATGGCTTCCTCTGCCTAGATTTCAAAGGCTGCCCCCTAGATCTCTGAGCCCAGGCAGAGTGTTGCCATGGAGTGAGGCTGTCCTGGAGACCTTGGAATAGTAGAACCATGAGTGTGCCACTCCAGCCTGGAAAATGCTCAGTCACACAACCACCAAGGGCTACCATCTGGGCTGTGCCCTGCAAAGCTGGGGGCTGGAGGACCAACCCCAGGCTTACTGTGTTCTAAAGGTTATTCTCAGACCTAAAGATTTCACGTTGTTTGCCCTGTTGGGCTTTGCACTTACATGGGACACTGTGGTAGACTTGTACTTAGAAGTACATACCTTGTTTGATTTCATAGGTGCACAACTATAGAGCAGTTTCCCTCTTTTCCTCCCCCAAAGACACACTGAATAACTGTCATATCACAATGTAGTAATAAAAATCCAGTGGGGGGAAAAGTCAGCTTGGCTTCTACTGTTCTTCACCTTTCTCAGTGATACGTGTTACTTTGCGAGTTTCTTTCAAGCTATACAATATCATTTACATCCTTTACATACCCAGATCTGACTGCTGTAGGTGACACCTCATCACTGTCTCACCTACTTGTCTCAGGGATTATACTTTGCAATAGTTTAGTCTCTGCTTTGCATTACCTATGCTGGCCACATTAGGATCTACTTAAATGTTTGTTGAATGAATAAATGAATGTATGAGTAAACAATACAAGACATGTTTCTTTAAAAGCATATATAAAATACCATGGCATGACAGGCTGGACATTGGAAGTATCCATTTAGTATAACTTTTTGTCACAGATGCCTTGGAACAATTAATTTAGTGGAAATTCATGTCTTTCTTACACCTGGCGTTGGGACAGGAGGTACAAGGAAGTCCCTTTGTACCTTATCTCACATTTCTTAAGTAAAAACTCACATTAATAGGGACCTGTTAATTTGTAAGGTTAAGTGCAGAAGCTGAAAGAGTGAATACCAGTAAACATGGTATCAGTCCTTTTCTAGATGGAAACCTATTTCATTGAGTTAAGGAAATGAAGGTCTATGGAAAAGAGCTGTGATTCAGGAGTGAAGGCTGCAGATAAAATTCCTATATAGATTATCAAACACATAGAGATAGATGATGTCACCTGGCCACTTATATTCAGAAGAGATATGTACTTGATAAAGTACCTAGTGATAATGATTGTTGTCCTTTTAAAGTAAAATGATTTCTTCTTAGGAGTTTGCAAGCACTTATGGATGATGAAGGCAAAGACTTGAAAGAAATATATTACATCTATTTTACTGTAAGTAACAATAAAAACTACCTAACAGATTAGTTTCAGTTTTGCAAACCATTTACATACATATCTAAACATGTCATGCTTTACTTTTTAAAAGAACTTCTGAATTATGCGAGGGCTTTTTCTCATTTTTCATGAGTTGAGTGAATCAGTTAGATTTTATTACGTAAAAGCAGCTCTGAAACTTAGTAGCTTATGTTAACAATCATGATTCTGAGAGTTCCTGACTGGGCTGGACAGTCTGAAGCAGCCTCACTTACATACTTGGTGGTTGGCAGATGGATTGATTTATTTGGTGTAAACAGATAGAACAGCTTATTTGTCTTTGTTTTCCAGGTTTTGTATCCATTTAGTAGGCTAGCTGAGTCTTCCTCACACGGTGGTATTAAGGTTACAAAGAATAAGAGATAACTCCAGCATAGGAGCTGCTTCTCAGGCTTCTGCTTCTGTCTGATTCCACTGGGCTGACAGAACTTCCCATAGCCAATCCAGATTCAAAGGCCAAGGAAGGAGATAGACTCTCCACTACTTGGAGGCATTACAGAGTCCCAGTGCTGCAGGGCATGAAAATCAGATTGGAAGGAATTGTTGGCCAGTTTTGCAAATCTGCCATTTCTGCTCTACACTATATATAAATCAAATACAGAGAAATGTTAATTTTTCTTGCTTGTTTAGTATGATCTCTTCACGTAAGTTTTGAAAAAAATTAATATTGCATTGTGCATGATGAATGGTGATTTTTTTCTGTTTGTACTTTTTAAACTAGTTTTTATGACAGAAATATACATTCTTTCCCTAAAGGAAGAGAGGGACATTCCAAAATGTTTGTGTTGATGATACATTGCCTAGAATTATATTGGAGATGTTATCTGAGTTCATTTGTGTTCGCAGGTCCTTTGGGATGGAAATGATATAGATTTAATTCCTAATGGAAGTCGCATACCTGTCAACCAAACTAACAAGTATGTACAAGTAAATGAAATAGATTGTATGTATACAATATTTATTGCAATGAACTCTTCAAATTCTTATTAGTTTTTATAATCCCACTTCCACTAGTCATTATTAAGACCAGAAATTGTGTATTATATGAATGGGTATTGACAGACATATCATGCAATTTACATTGCAGTGGATGGAAATGGCTTTCTTTTTCCTGTTTAAAATGATAATTCTAACATCTGTCCTACACTGTTCACTGACTTCTTACTCTGTTTTTACTTTTTCTTTTTATATCACACTTTAGGATTTATGTTTTTAGTGCCTCTTTCATACTGAAAGCTGCATAGTGGCAGGAGTATGATCTGTGTGCTGAGCCAGTGTGTCTCCAGTACCTAGAATGGTCTGCAGTGGTGCCCTGAACATAGCAGGCACATGGGATTTGTTGAAAAGGTTTCTGTGGTATTTTGACTTGACAGCATCTGTGAGTTGTCATTACAGGGTACAGAATTTTGGATTATTGAACATTTCCTTGCTATTTGGTCAAATGGCAAGTAAATCTGTAGTAAGCATTGTGGCATATACCAAATCTTTGTAATATCTTAAATTTTAATAACTTTCTTTGGAGGTATAGATGATGTGTTAGATAAAATTTCACAAATTGTTTTTTTTTCTTGTTTTTTTAAAATTGAGTACAAATTGTTAAGTATACAACTTAATGTGTTTTACAAAATGAACATACCGAGGCTGGGGAGATAGCTCAGTAGAATAAATGCATGTCTGGCAAACGCAAGGGCCTGAGTTCAATCCCCAGATCCACCAAAAAAAACCAAACCAACCAACCAACCAAACAAACAAACAAAAAAAAAAAAATAGAGAATTACCAACCAAACAGAGAAACAGAACATGTTTAGGTACATAGCTCTAGATTGTATCAGTGTGCTCTACAGTTCACTTGTCCATAGCATTTTTTTACTTCAAGTCTTGGGCTACTGAGAATTACGTTTCTATGAATGTTCATGTCCATGCAGTGTATGTCTGATCACGGAAGCTAAGCAGAGTTGGACTTGTTTAGTACTTGGAAGGAAAATAATACACAAGAAAAGAAAAGAAAAGATTAAAATTTACCTCATCTCCCAGCTCATTAAATTTACCCCACCTCCCAGCTCACAGACACTACTGTTAGTGGTTCATGTTTTATTGTTCTAGATTTTTCTCTTCTAACCTCAGTGTTATTTCAACCGTGTGGTCTTGAGTAATCATTTAATCACTGCAAACCTGTTTCTTTTGCACTAAAGTGTTTATAATATGAAAGTTGTTATGGAGATTAAGTTAAATAATCTCTAAAAGCCTATGGTAAGCACTCAACTGTTAGATGTAACCTTGGTGATTACAGTAAACAAATTTTTTTTGTTAAAGGAAAGACTATGTTTCAAAGTGTGTTGATTACATCTTCAACGTCTCTGTAAAGGAAGTTTATGAAGAATTTCAGAGAGGATTTTATAAAATGTGCGACAAGGACCTAATAGGAGTTTTTCATCCTGAAGAGCTGAGGGATGCAATTGTTGGAAATACAGATTATGACTGGGAAACATTTGAAAAGGTATATCATAAAGGATCCATTGTTGTTTCATTTCAGTTTTCTTTTTCTGTTTTCTGAAGTTTTTCTTCATTGTGTTTTCTGTAGAATGCAAATTATGAAGAAGGCTATAACAACTCACATCCCACTATAGTGATGTTTTGGAAGGCTTTACACAAATTGACTCTGGAGGAAAAGAAAAAGTTCCTTGGTATGTATTATGTCAAATAGATCTGTAATCTTGTTTCCTTTTGAAGGAATGAAGATAAAATTTATGCTGTGTACCATCTGTAACAAATCATAGTGTCAGAGCCATTCCTAATCCAACTGATGACCCCTCTGAAAACATCAAACATCCATTGTTAGCTGGACATAGTAGCCCACATTTGTAATCCCAGCTACTCTAGAAGTTGAGGCAGGAGGATTTAAAATTCATAAAATAATAAAACCACAGGTTGGAAACTTAGTTCTCTTTCCCATCTTACAAGATGGCAGGTGAAAAACCTGGGAAGCCGGACACTAAAGCAAAGAAACCCAAAGCCAAGAAGGCTTCTGCCAGTGGAACTGGTAAAAAGGGTAGGGTGAAAGCAAAATGTCTAAGAAGGGGCAGCCCCACTGCAGCTGAAATCCTGTCCTGGTTAGAGGAATTGGTAGATACTCCCGATCTGCTATGTATTCCAGAGAGGCTTTGTACAAGAGAGAAAGTACACAGCTGCTAAATCAAAGGTTGAGAAGAAAAAGGAGAAAGTTCTTACTACTATCTCAAAACCAGTCAGTGGGGATAAGAATGGAGGTACCCAGGTGGTTAAGCTTTGAAAAATGCCTAGATACTGAGGATGTGCCCCAAAAGCTCTTGAGCCATGGCAAGAAACCCTTCAGTCAGCATGTGAGGAAACTTAGAGGTAGCATAACTCCCAGCACCATCTTGATCATCCTCACCCAGCGTCACAGAGGCAAGAGAGTGGTCTTCCTGAAGCAGTTAGCCAGTGGCTTGCTACTTGTGACTGGGCCTCTAAGCCTTAATCATGTTCCTCTATGAAGAACACACCAGAAATTTGTCATTGCTACCTCTACAAAAATTCTTATCAGCAAAGTGAAAATCCCCAAACACCTCACTGATGCTTACTTCAAGAAGAATCAGCTGCGGAAACCCAGACACCAGGAGAGTGAGGTCTTTGACACCAAGAAAGAGAGATACCAGATTTCAGAGCAGCTTAAGGTGGTTCAGAAAGCAGTAGACTCACAGATTTTAGCAAAAATCAAAGCTGTTCCTCAGCTCTGGGGCTACCCGCTCTCCGTTTTGCTGTGACAAATGGAATTTATCTTCATAAATTAGTGTTCTAAATGACTTACTAAGAACCTAATTAAATAGCTGATACATTTAAATAATAATAAAACCACATCTCAAAAAAAAAAGTTGGGGCCAATGAGATATCTCAGCTGTCTAACGCACCTGCCTGTTAGTCAAGCCTAGGCAGGTGGAGGGGACCAAGTTTGATCCCCGGCACCACATGCCACACCAGCCCCACTTTGAGGGCAGACTGAGCTGGCCAAAGAAAAGTGTTAATGATCCTTTTCCCCTGTGATTTACATATTTATAATAGGTACACACAAAATCCAGCCTTAATTAGCCAAAATCCTGCTACTTTGTGTTTCCAAATCAATTTTAATTCACCTTCCAAATTTTGATTTCCATTTTATGCTTACCTAGTGGTTTTCCCAAGTCTTAACTAATTATCTCAGTTACTTAAACATTATTTATTCATTTTTAAAAACATTTATTTCTTATTTTTGTGGATGACACATATGATGGGAGATACTCAAACTTACACTAAAAATCAGTATTCTGGGTCTCCACTCCTAGAGAATTCCATGTCCAGGCCAGTGAGCATACCTTGCACCCTCCCCTTGCCAGCCTTCTCTAATGTTTCTTCATCTACCTCGACCCTCCCCTACCTCCTTGTTTCTTATCCACAGTTTCATTCTTACAGATCCAGCGTTGTCCTCTACTCTGAAAAATTTCCCTGGTCATCCCAGCTTGGCACCATCTCCCTCCTCTGAAGCCCAGCATTTATACTCAGAACTTAACTCTTTCTTGACTTTCCTTATACATTATGTATTTTCTCTTGTCCTTGTCTTTTTCTACACTAGAATCAATATAGTCATCCCTTAGTCTGTCTTTGATTTTACTCTTCACAGTTTTGGTTAGGTAGTCAATCACAGTTTGAAGATATTAAATGGAAAATTCTAGAAATAAATGTAAGTTTCAAGTTGTAAGCCATTCTGAGAGATATGAAGGAAACATTGTGTATCCTACTGTGTTCCACCTGGGAATCATCCTTTTGTCACTTAGTAGCTTTTTCATTTCTCAGATAACTTGGGTACCATGGTACTTGTGTCCAAGTTACTCTTTACTTATGGTGCCAGAGCACATAGTGATGCTGGCTGCTTAGAAATGCTGAAGAGAAGCTACATAATGCCTCTTTTAAGTGAAAAGTTTATCATGGATATATATATATATGTTGAAGAAAACAATGAATATATACATAGGATTCAGCACTGGCCACAGTTTGTGGCATCTAAGGAAGGGTCTTGTAACACATTCCCTATGGATAAAGAGGGACTACTGTATTCCCAGCCATACTGTAAGATTGCTCGAGGGTAGTGACGCTCAGATTTTGATCCCTAATTACTGTATAAGGCAGGATTTTACCTGTGAGCCCTCAGTAAAGCTTTTTTTAGTTTCTCTGTAAGTTTTGGCCTTCACGTGAAACAGAGCATCTAATTTTAGTCTTCTTTTTAGTGTTTCTTACAGGAACTGACAGATTACAAATAAAAGATAGGAAGACTATGAAGATAACATTTTGCTGTCCTAAAAATTTGAATGAGGAAGATCCTATGAGAGCTCAGACATGCTTCAGTATTCTCTACCTCCCTAAGTATTCCACAATGGAAAGAGTAGAAGAAGCACTTCAGATTGCCATCAACAACAGAAGGGGGTTTGGATGACCCCAAATCTTATTTTTTGCTTCTTTTTTAGAAGTATTTTCAGATACTTTTAAAGAATATTATAAAAAATAAATTTAACTCATTATTCACTGTTTTTTTTTTTTTTTTTTTTTTTGTTTTTTGTGGCCCAGCTCAGCCCACTCCGGGGGGTGGGGGGCTGGTGTGGTATATGGTGCCGGAGATCGAACTATGGTCCCTGTACATTTGCCTAAGCTTGCCTAAGCAGGCACTTTAGACCACTGAGCTGTCTTGCTTACTCACTATTTTCTTGTTCTTTAAGAATTTCTATTATTGCATATAAGACATGTATTATGAAATAGATTAGGCAGACGGGCTGATGCCTAATATGCATGAAGCCCTAAATTCAATTTTCAGTACCAAAAAAATATATATATATAAAATGGGTTGCAGCTCTGATACAAAGGTTAACCGGAATGGTTGCTATGCCTAAAGAGACATTGTCTGCATAATACTTGCTGTTTCCTTCAGGTGGCATCATTCCCATACTTTTCTCTTCAAGGTGGGGACTGGTGGCAATGATTTGGGACAAACAGTGAGAGAAGCTTTTAAGGAAGCTTTTTAAAGTGAACCTTTATAAGTAGTGGGAGTTTTTGTCTTTATTCCTTCTTGGAAACAAGTCATGACAGCTAGAGCTTCAGCATCTGTTCAGATCACCAGATCACCATGCACAAAGGATCAGAAATCTTGTCCCTAAAATTCTTAAGCTTAATTATCAGAAGTGCCTAGATTAGAACATCTGATGATCGGAAAATAACCAGATTTCTTTGTGTTTATGGTACTCTGGGAAGGCCTGTACTCATAAAACATATCCCTTAATTAAAAGACACAGTGGGCTGCCAGCTGGGATTTACCTGCTGAGATCAGTGTAGCATATTTCCAAACAGTTTCGTTTCAGGTAGAAAAAGGGAAGCAGTATTGGCTCAACATCCTATTTCTGCCTCAGCTACATACTTGGACTGTTAACCCCAATCTCTTCACTGTCTTTCCTTTAGAGGCTAGAGAAGAAGGAAGATGTATTTCCCAGGATCCCTTGATAGCTATAGTTGTGTGTGTGAATTGTGTTCTGCCAATGGGATGTGTCGTGTTTATAAAAGCTTTGCAACATGACAGGAAGTACCTGGTTCCCATTCCCAAAAGAGGCTCTAAATGACAACAGGGAGAGAGAACAAAAGCATAAAATAAAAGTAGTTTGGTTTTTTTTTTGAGACAAGATCTCACTATGTAGCCTAAGCTGGGCTTGACCAGTCAAGCCTCAAACTTACGGCAGTTAATCCTTCTCAGACTCCCAAGTGCTAGGATTGAGGGAGTATGCCACCACCCCAGTTCTCAACATTTTTTAAAATTGAAAAGGAAGAGCTGACAGCTCAGACTATAGTGCCAGCTTAGGCACAGCAGCCAGAATTGAATCCCAGGTGTGCTGTGCCAGCCCCATCCCCGGGGTACGCTGAGATGGCAGTAGAGCCTTGGCATGGTGGCACGTGCCTGTAATCCCAGCGCTTGGGAGGCCAAAAATGGAGAATCACTACGAGTCCAATCTGTGTAGTGAGACCCTGTAGACCCTGTACTAAATACATTTAAAAAAAAATAAAATTGAAAAGAAATTCCCCTATTTGCCTAGCTTTGCATGCCCATTTCATGGCCAGAAACAGAGAGGATTGACAGTTCCAGTGCACTGGGGAAAAGTGGGAAAGGTTATTTCAGTGCTGTTCCAAAGAAATCAATGTAATACAAGCAGCAACAGTAATATTCTAAAGTGCTTTAAGTAATAATTCTTCCTGTGTAAACATTGAGCTTTTTGCCTATGGACAGAACTTAGCAACTTTTGAGTTAGGGTAATTTGTGTCGGTCCCCAAGCCACCAGGATGGTTTTATTTTCAGGACTTCCCAAGTAAGTGATGCTTATCATATGGGGGAGACAAGAAACAAGATTTTATAACTATGGGAAATACAGTTTCTAAGAGGGCATGAGAATTTAGTTTAAATTGAAATAGTCACTCAACAGTGCTTCTGTGATGAAATGGTACATTCTCAAGCAAAGAGAATGGGATAAAATTATACGTTTAAGAGGTGTTCTGAAGCGTGTCTTACAGAAAAAGGACTAATAAAGCCTTATACCTGGTGTATAAGACCCACACATGAAACCAACTTTGCCTACCCTTTGATTGCTTGACCGCTTTACTACCAGTGTCGCATGAAACAAAAGTGCCATCTAGTGGCTTATGCAGAATACGACTGCTTCCAAGTGTAGCATTTTACTAAGTAGGGGAGGACAGGCCTTTCTCCACATCACGACACATAGTAGTGAGCCTCTGCTTAGGTTCTTGCGAAGGTCATTTCATATTTTCCATACACCTCAAGAGCACTGCTCTGCATGTTGATGTCATCATTTTTCCTTACAGATTTACATTCTGAATTTCAGAGGGCCTTGCTAAAGCTCCCCACGCCCCCTGCAGGATTGGAAGCAAATAAGGGAGAGATGTTCATGAATGTCCTTTATTATTCCTTTAAAATGGAAAGATTCTTATTAATGAGGTAGCTAAAGTGATCCCTATCAATAATGCAGTTAACCTGTTACAAACTCTAAGGAGTCAAGAAGGGCTGTGGCTTTGTGAAGCTAGCCAATTACTGAAGAGGAGATGTGAGCTTTCCCTCTCTAGTTGATGAAGGAGTAAGACCGCTTTATCTTGTGAGTTTACGGAACAACAATTGGAAGGAGTGGAATTAGTGTCATGAGCTATGTAATGGGAAACTAGGTGAAGCACAGTCTCCATGGATGAGCTGGAAGAGAGGATGAGTTGCTAGTGAGGAACTTGGAAGAAGAACATTAGAAACCCATTGAAGAATTCCTGAGAAAGGGTGTCACTTCTGAGAGGGTAATTTAGAAAGCTTGAAGACTGTATTCTACTTTTTTTTGTTGTTGGTGGTGGTGGAACCGGGGATTGAACTCAGGCCTTTTCACTTGCCAGGCAAGCACTCATTCTACTGAGCTATCTCCCCAGCCCTTGTATTCCACTTTTAACTGTAATCAGCAAATCACTTGGAACCACTGGGCCTTAGGGTGGGCATTTAGATAGCACTCTTTTGAGTTTTTAAAATT